ATTTGAAATTTTGTGGATTTGTCAGTTTTTACTGAGCTTCTTTTATGTTATTTATTATTTACTCTGTAACTGGTAGTTGTTTAGAGGTATTAAATCTAGATGGATTTTTTTTATTAGACAGCAGAACTTGCAGTCGAACATTGTTCTTTTTAGAACCTCTTTTAGTGCGAAGTGTACAAGAAGCGGTAGTAACAGCCTTTTGTTTCCCTTAAATGCTGTTAAGAAGGTAATCAATGTAAATAATAACTGTTTATATATTTATAATTAATTTATTTTTGTTTCCTAAAATATTTTGATTAATAGAAGATATTTAAAACTCTGCTTTCCGACAAAAAAGCGGAATTAATAGTCTTTACAGTAGAGGCAATTGAAAAAATTTGACTAATTTTATGTTTTTTTTTACTCAACCAGTTTTTACTAATCTTTAAAATGGGGTTTGATAGTAAATAAGTATAGTTTTAAGTACATTTTTAATACCTATTGCTTTTAAAAAGTTCAGTATTTAATATAAAAAAGTTAGAAAAAAGAAGTGACCCTTTTTCTCGAAAAAAAAAACCGCAAACGTCAGAAAAATTACAGTCTTGGTCGGAAATATTATAAAATAATTCGGGGTCACTTTTTGTTTTGCGACCTTTTACTCTGTAAAGGGGGTATCAAATGTATCACCATTGGTATCACGAAAGTGGCCCTTTTTGGATTGGGACATTTTTTCACAAAAAAATATGGTCCAACGTGCGCAAATGTCACGACGCAAACATGACACAACTAAATTATTGGTACCATAATTGGTACGGTCTTCCACGTTAATCATATTCCAATAATCAAAAAGTGACAGTTGGTCCGGATGACACCTAGCGGTGAATTATTTAATTTTAAATTGGGACAGTTTTGCTCGTTAAAAAGGCGCTTTTTTATTACTATGGGATAGAAAAACTCAAACTCACAAACTTTTGAATTGTGCCACTTTTGTCGGAAAGCAGCGAAAAGTGGGCAACGGCTGTGCTGATCAAGCTTAATCACGTGACTAAAATTTTATTTTATATGAACTATACCGGGTGCGTCTCAAAAGTGGCTCACCTTTATAACTTTTTTATTTTTTCAGATACAAAAACGAGATGTGGTATGTTAGTATATGAAATAAATTAGGATTGATTATGTATTCAATTTTTTTGTGTCGCTTCCTGTTTTACCGGAAATGACTACAACTTTTGATTTTTAAATGGCACCCTCGGCATTTTTTCACTTTATTTGATAGAAAATAACATTCTGAATAGAATGACATATCATATGTCAACTTTTGACATTCTCGCTTAATAAAAAATCGTATTTTAAATTTCAATCTAGAGTGCCATAGCCTATGTTAAAAACATTAATTCTTAATAAAGGAGCCTTGGAATAATAGATTTGATCGTCTAATATTTTTAGTGTCAAAAAATGCCCAAATCGTATTTTTAATCATATTTCAATTTTTGCAAATAGAACGAGGGTGATGGCTCAGCATATTTGGATATATTTTTATGAATAATTTGACCATACACTTACCTAACGAAAACGAACCGCAAGTTATAATTTCAAATAAACCATATGCGAAAATGGCAAAAGTTGATATATGATATGTCATCCTATTCAGAGCGTTATTTTCTATCATACTAGTAGACAAATACTGAGGGTGCCATTTAAAAATCCAAATTTTTAGTCATTTCCGGTGAAACAGGAAGTGACCGAAAACAATTGAATACGTCAATCAATCCTAATTTATGTCATATACTAACATGCCAAATTTCGTTTTTTTAACTAAAAAAATAAAAAAGTTATAGGGGTGAGCCACTTTTGAGACGCACCCGGTAGAAACTAGCTGTTAAAATCTTTTGTCGTTTTATATTTTTATTCTTTCCTTAAACCTCGACTAAAGTCGTTGGGCTACAACAATTTTGAAGATATTTAATTGTATTTTAACCAACGATAACCAACTACTGAAACCAGGAGCCTATATAGGAAAAGGGTAGATTTTTGGGTAATGAGCCTAATGGAAATCCGGGCCAGAGACATTCCGCCAGACCACCCTATCGATTCACACTCGTTATGAATAGAATCGGGGGGACCAAGGGCGACTCTGGCACAAGTTTAAATTTAATTTAGTTTGCCGCGTCGATGCCTCCATCTCTTTGATTAAATTCGGATCGGCGTCTGATAAAAAATTTAGAGCCTCGTCAGACCCGAAAAAAAATGATGTAGTTGTTTGGAGTGATGTTTACACTCCACAGATGAGTCGCTATAAAAAAATATAAGACAAATTATAAAAAAAAAGGAGCGATAGCCTCTAAAAGAAAAATAAAAGAGGCTTTTTTAATACAATCTAATAAAAATAAATATATTGCGTATGTAGATGCTTTTAGATCGCTCATTAATAATTATCTTTCTGTTTAATTATTCTGTATTATTCACCGCTTCATTTTCGCCACTGGTTTATGGTAATGTGCATTTTGATAAATCAACAATCCATATTCAGACACCATCTAATTAAAATCCGGAAATAAAAAATAAATGACAAAAAAAGGTTTCCAAGTTTACATTAAACCTAAAACGAAAAGACAGTTATCGATGATGAAATAAATGAGCCTGGCTTATATTTTTCTCTGTTTCTGAATTTTCTTTTGACATTTTTATTAGCTGCTTGTCAAAATTGAAATTGTATTCTGTCATTTAATAATAAATCCTCAGAAATGTTAATAAAGAAATAACTGAAAAAGTGCTTATACAGGGTGGCGCCTCTCATACGACGCGGAGGCTCGAAGGAGAACGGGAGTTTATATCGAAATAAAATTTTGGGAGCATGTGTAGGTTAATTGAAAACATTTTATAAAAATATATACAGTTCTACAGGGTGTCTACAAAAAAAGTTATTCATCAAAGTTGGGTTTTTTGTAATGGAGCATCTTGTATATTAATTAATTTTCGGACTCGGACTCGGACTCGGACTTGGACTTGGAAATTGTAAGGATTTTGACATATTTCACATTTTGTAAAAATGAAGAATGCATTTTAAATTTTAATAACAGCTACGTAAATTGTAATTTACCTTTGATATCTTTTTTCAAAACGAAGATATTAGCAAAATTATAATAAATATAAAAAAATAAGACATTAATTACTTTATTTTCATAACACGGTTACAATAGCCCTCTTGATTATGACCATTCTAATAAAAAATAAGATAGAAACGATTAGTTTATTCTAAAATCGACAATATACTACAATACTATAATACCAGATGTATTAATATCTAATAATTATGATATCAATGACAGTGAATAAGAAACGACGCCTCAGTGAAGTCATGGTAGGTTTTGGAAAAAAGTTGCTTTTGACGTAATGGTATAAACGTCAAAGTGTCATTAGATCAACATTTTGATATTCTTAGCAGCGTTTTTTCTCTTTTGGAGAAAGGCATTTTTAGAAAAGCAATCAAAAGATAAAAACGCTGCTGAGACTATTAAAATATCAATATAACTATCCCTTTAAAATCAACTTTTTTCCAAAGCCTACCATGAATTCACTGAGGGCTCGTTTCTTGTTCACTGTCATTGATACCTTAATTATGAGGTATTAATACACCTAGTATTATGGTATTCTGGTATTATGGTATTATGGTACATTTTGGTTGATTTTTTGAATAAAATAATCTTTTTAATCATATTTTATTAAAATGGTCATAATCTAGAGGGCTAGTGATACCGTATTAGAAAAATAAGGTAATTAAGTGCTCGTTTTTTCGTATTTATTGTAATTTTGCTAGTAACACTGGTCTGAAAAAAGATATCAAGATGCGGTTTTCGCTGACTTTAAAAGTAAAGTAAGTTAAAAAGTCAGACTTTTTAAGCTTTTATTGCTCTTTAGTATGAGCTAAAATCTTACTCTTTAGTATCGCATTTAATTTAAAAAAAAAAAGCGTAATGTTTGTTATAACATAGCGCCCCCTAGCGCCTACGTTCATAAGCTTATTTTTATTGTTTAGGTTAATATAGAGTAAGAAATGCTCTTTTAAACGAGCTCTCATTTGCTAGATTCCGATCATCCAGTCCGGAGTTATTAACATTTAAATAATAACAGGAAGGGGTAAATAAAGTAAATAATAACAGGAAGGAATCTAACCTTTCCCCACCACTTTATTTTAGCAGATCGGCGAAAATGGTTCTGACAAAAAAGATTCAAAATTTACTGAAGATTGTGAAGCTATTGTTTATAATAATAATAGCTCCCGTACATAGCGTTTAACGCGTTGGGAGTAGCAAGGTACAGCTTGCCATGCCTAGAGCAGTTCGGTATACAAGGAAGGTAATGTGGCTAGCACTACGCTTCAACCGCCTATTATTACCTCAGGATTGTGAATCCCAAGTACTCATTTAAGGCTGAGTCGACCTAGGTACCCAAACTATTTTTATTTTAATAAAAATAGTTGGCTGATGAAATGCCGGGTGTAGGATTCGAACCCACTACCTTGAGATTGGTAGACGAGAGCCTGTACCTCTACGCCACCGAGCACCGTGGCCTTTTATAGTACCCCTTCCAGGCAAAACTTCGTAAAAATTCCATTTTCTTAGTTTCCATAGCAGTTGCGCCCTCTAACTGCCGTTATACAAACTTGAAAATAATTTCCAGCAATTTCTCATGGTTTCTTTAGATATAAATATTTTTTCCGCAAGCCCTACGACTAATACTTTCCGAGATGCTGAGAGCTATTCTTAGTGGGACACCCTGTACACTAATATCGAAAAAACTGAAAGATAATAATCTTCAAAAAGTATAGCTCGTTTTTCCGGGGTAGACTAAAAGAGATTGTTTGTGTGTCAAGATACATATGCTGCCATCTTTATACAATTACATCCCCTATATTAAACCCCTTTATAGTCTTCTAGCATCCTGAATAAATAGAATTTGAAGAAATAAATTAAATGATCTGGAAAAGTTTGGCTCGGTCAGTTATTTCATTTATTTTTTAGGACAAAGTCGACCTGGGAGAACTAATGGTTTGTTTGTGCTTCCTGCCCAAAGCTGGTCGGTTAACCCTAACGGTCATAAAGGGAGTCAACCTGAAAGCGATGGACATCACAGGAAAATCAGGCAAGTTAATTATTGAAGTTTTGTTCTTGTTTCTATTGTTTCCAATAGCCGAATACAAATAAATATTAGAGAGGCACTAATGGGCATAAATCATAGACTTAAAATAAGATATAGACTACATACACTATTTACATCTGAACGCGGTCAAACAATCTTTTTTGTACAATTGTTTACTTCTGCGTACAGTTGACCGCAGCCGACCGAGTCTTACTCCTCCAGCCTATGTTGTCACGTCTTTAATATTATCAATATTTTTTCCTTATTATACCTACACATATATTGAGATATTAATACTACATTTTAATAAAATAGGTTTAATTATTCCATAGATATATTAAATAGTCCTTATACTACTAAATTATAAGTCAGATACTATTTAAAAAGGATAAATTCTTTACAATATGACAACACCGATGAGACGCGAGGTCGCCTATTCATTCATTTATTATCTTGTAGTACGCGTTCGCACCTTAGAGTAAGACAATAGAGAGCCGATCCATTGTTTGGCTCCTTCGATGAGATACGGTCTAATGGTCTTGCGGGACAATTGTGCCATATCATGCAGTTTATCGTTATCACAGGGAATATTCATTATACATACTTATCTTTAAGTTATTTAATAAAATATAATTTATTAATGCTACGTGTAAAAATTATTATATGGTATATAATAAGCATTTACTAAGTGATTAAAACAAGTAAAACAACAGTTCTCTTAAATAAAAATAGGAAAATAAATAATTTAATCTAATCAGCAGAAAATAGTTCAGTCAACGTGGCAACATTGGAATTCTTATCTGGACGTAGTAAACTGGCGGCACGTGTGTTTCCGATTATTTCGTTGTAGGTGTTTTTGTGTTTTCTGACTGAAACGTAGTGAATTTATTATTTTAAATAGTGACATTCGATATAAAAATTATAAATATTGTATAATCATGGTTGATATGTGCCAAGTTTGCAAGAAAAATAGTTCGAAAAATCCTGATGTGTCATTTCACAGGCAAGTACTGACCTACCATAAAATACGTGATTCTTTCGAAACAGTAGCGTTACATTTCATTTTAAATCAAGATTGATGAACTAAAGAAATTATTATTTAACCACATTGGAACTTAGTAATTACATACTATATAAAATATAAATAATTTTATAGTTGATGGTTATTTACATGAGAAGTTTCATAGGAAGATTGCATCATAATCATAAACCACAACAAAGAAAAATATTTACCTAGACAAAAAAAAGGTACTTTAGGTAGGCCCAGTGTAAACCATCTGTAAATTGGAAATACCTACATTTTGTTCTTTGTTATGTTGTCTAATGCAATGCTCCCGTAAAAATCGTATGATCGCAAAAAAAGGCGCCAGTGTTGCCTTCAAAATTTCTGATCAAAAACAATTAATGATAAGTGTCATGGATTCCCGTTTTTTTTCGCTCCTACAAAGTAAATACCCATTTTATAGTCGAATATATTAATAATTCCTATATTTTATATTTTATGTATGTGTCTGTTTATGTATTTTTTAAATATATTTTTAATATACACTCAGATGTAGTAAAAACCCAACGGATAATTTTTTCGTCAAGTTTAATGTGATATTTCTTTTACTTTTAGCCCTATTTTAATGATTTTTTTGGCAAACTTTATATATCAACTTTAATTAATAAATTCAGTTTTTTATAAACTTCAGTATTTGGTTTATTATACAGGGTTAATTGTACGGCTGTTTTTTAAGCTAGCTTTAAAACATCCTGTGCAATAATTTAGTAAGTGACTTTTCGTAAAACAGTATTTTTCGATCAGAACCATGTCTCCTGAGCATTTTGTTTTTAACTCATGTCAACACATGCCTTGGTTCAATTTTAAGAGCGAAATGAAATTGCCACCAACAATTTGCATGTGATGTTATATTTTAATATCCCGAGATGGGGCTTCGGGTAGATGAATGAAGAATAACATTAAAAAGTAACGATAATAATCGAAAACATTGCAAAATGTTTGTGGCCAGTTCATTTTGCTCTTAAAAATTAACCAAGGCGTGTGTTAACATGACTGATGATATTCAGGATGGGGGTTCTCACTAAAAAATAATGTTTTAGGAAAATTTGCTCTCGAAATTATTGCACAGGGTGTTTTAAAGTTAGGGTAAAAAACAACCCTTCAACTAATTTGTAAAAACTTATTGTAAAATTACTGTCGATTGTCATTAATTGTCAAAGTTAAACCTGCTTGTTTATATTGTAGTTGTTTTTTATTGGTATTTTTTAAATTTCACTCTAGAATGCTATGGTCATGATGTAATTTTTTATCAAATAAAGTGAAAAAAATTTCCTAGAGCACCATTTAAAATTCAAAAGTTTAAATCATTTCCGGTGAAACAAGTAATTGAAAACAATCAATCCCGATTTATGTCATTTAGTAACATACAAAATTTCATTTTTTTATTTGGAAAAAATCAAAAAGTTATAGGAGCGAACCACTTGTGAAAAACACAAGGTATGTGCTAATCAAGATTCACTGAACATGATTTAAATCATGCATAAAAGATATTTAAATTTATTTTTAATTTGGTTTCAAAGTTTTAGGATTATAAAATAATGAAAAAATATTTTATAAAGCATTAAATAAAAAATGCACCTGTTAGTAAATATACATAAAAATTAAATTGATATATAAATCGGAGTTTTATACATAGCTTGAAAATTATAACTAATATGTAATTTGAAAAAAAATGTTATGTTAAATCGGTAATTAATAAAATAAAGACATTTTAAAATGCTATGCTATTAAATTTAAGGCGTCTTGTATAAATGTAAATCAAAATAAGAATAAGATTTTGAGATTTATACTAGCTAACACAATTTTTTAAAGATCGATTTTAATTTTATATTAATTTAATTAAATTCATATTTCGGAAATTGCGAAAACTAGTACGCCATTGGATTAGTCCGGCCAGTATCGCCGCGCCAAATTTGCTGTCCCAAGTTCTTATCCCCACTCAAGGCTTTTCATTGATGTTTTAACCTCCGTGATTCCATTCTAAGCAGGCTAAGTGGAACATGGTTGGAGTAGATTTATGAATGACTTGCTCCGTCTAGAAGTTTTAGTCTAAGGTTCGCACGTGTGCAGTAAAGCTTTGTTGCCGCTATGTCCCCGACTGTATTAACGTATTTTCTTAGTTTGTAGTCCTTAAGTGTTTATTTTATTTACTTTTTCTATTCAAGAACTATAAAATATGGTTCGCCAGTGCCAAATTTGCAAGAAATTTGACTTAAATAATTCATTTAAGTCTCGAAACGACTTTCGACCGGTAGGCAACTCTCAATTTACCAATTGGATAGTATCAGTGGCGTTGTTGTAGAAAGGCGCTTATTTAGATAATATTTTAGTAAAATTTAAAATCTGAATTTTTTCTATTACATATTTATTTATTTAAAGGTTTTTGTAACAAAATCATAACTATAACCCTGTTATTATACATAATATATAAATTATATTAGGCATCGGTTAAAAAATTAATATTGTTTTTATTAAAAATATATTCCGGTTTATTCTAAAACTATCTTCAGAATCTAAAATAACTTACAAGAATTTTAAAATGATATAACATTATGAAACAATATTTTTTAATATAGATACCGGGTGCGTCTCAAAAGTGGCTCACCCCTATAACTTTTTTATTTTTTCAGATAAAAAAACCAGATGGTATGTTAGTATATGACATAAATTAGGATTGATTGACGTATTCAATTGTTTTTGGCCTCTTCCTGTTTCACCGGAAATGACTGAAACTTTTGATTTTTAATGGCACCCTCGGTATATTGCTACTTTATTCGATAGAAAATGACACTCTGAATAGAATGATATATCATATGTCAAGTTTTGACATTTTCGCATATGGTTTCTTTGAAATTATAATTTGTGGTTCGTAACGACTGAAAATACTGACTCGAAACACCAAGTGTATGGTATCAAATTATTCGTAAAAAAATTTCGTAAAATTATTTTATTTTAAGTCTATGGCATGAATCCTTTTCAAAGAATGGATAATAATAAATTTAAGCATGCAAAGTGATCAGATTTGACTATATTCTTGTGTGTGCCAAAAGCTCGCAATAAACAGAATTTTTATATTACTGAGTTATCGAAAGTGCAAATATTTTCAGGGCTGGTAGATCTCGATAAAATAAACATATTTTCTCTTTACCGTTTTTCAAATGAATCCAAAATAACCGAGTTATTTTACTTTGAAAATTTAAAAAAAAATGATTTTTTGGTAACACATATTTTAAAATTAAAAAAAGTGTCGATACATTGATCAGGGACGTGCATATGGGTTATCACTGGAATATTTTTCGAAAAAAATGCATGTGCGCCACTGATTTTCATTCTCTTGTTACCGAAATATTATAAGCTGTTTAATGCCGATTAAAAGTTGTCTCTTGATATTTTGTAGATTTCGGCCTCCTTGATGAGATAAACGCAAGTTTATTAATTTGCGTTGATTCAAGTCTAATAGCAACCTTTAACATATTATGTTATATTCAGTAACTTGAGAAAGTTTTAAATAAGTACTCATTGATTTCTCATCAAAAAATATGAAAAAACGTTCCTATAAAAATGGGTATTGAAATGCATAGTTAGAGTTACAGGATGTTAAAACTTTTTAAAATTAGGTTTTTTGTAATTATCTTAAATACCATTAATTTGATATTTTTTTATTTGAAATAGCAGTAGGCTGGACTAATAGTAATAATAATTAATAGCAATAAGATTTAATAAAAAATTAGGTAATATATATAATTTATTAATTTTATTTTTATTTTAATTTTATTAATTGGGATTAATAAAATTGCGTTTATCTCATCAAGGAGGCCGAATTCGACAAAATATCAAGATATAACTTTTAGTTGGCATTAAACAGCTTACACAATTTTCAGATCAAAAGAAAAAAATCAGTGGCGCACATTTTTTTTTTTAATATTCCAGTGAACTTATG